CGACTGGCTGGTTTGGGCTCCCAGCCAGTCCGCTTGTCTGCTGGCCAGGGATCTGGTTCTTTCTCAGCTCGCTGGGTTCGGGTTCTTGGTGAACTGGAGGAAGTCCCATCTGGTTCCCTCCCAAGTTCGGACGTAGCTGGGCCTTGTTTGGGACTCTTGGACCGCTTCCTTGCCTCTTCCTCTGGAGTCTCTTCTGCGGCTGCGGTCCCACTTGTGCCTGTTTCTGGGGGCTCCCGGGTCTCCAGGCGGTTGCTCGAGGGTCTGTGCGGGAGCCTGAACTTCGCGATGCTGGTCTACCCGCCGGGTCGGGTGTGGCTTCGTTCTGGTTCCTTCGGGGATGACCCTTCCGCCTCTCGCGCAATCGTTGGGTTCGGCCTCCGGGGACTTTGTGTCGATTGCTGCGTCGCTGGCTTCCTCTTCGGGGTTTTCGGGGTTCGGTGCCTTGGCTCCTTCCCGAGCCCTCACTCGATGTGTATACGGACGCCTCGTCTCTTGGCTGGGGTTTTGTGACCAGTGCTCATCAGGCCGGCCAGGGGCGGTGGGGTTCGTCCTTCTTTCGAGCTTACAGCACGGTACAGGAGTTCACAGCGGTGTGGATGTCACTCCAGAGGATTCGAGTCACTCGCAGATCGACGATCAGGCTCCATTCGAACTGCTCCCCGGTGGTTCATTGCCTGAACCGCGGGGGTTCGTTGCGGTCCTTGGCTCTTTGGGGTTAGTCACTTTGGGTGACTCGTCTGCTGAGTTCTCGGGGATTGGCTCTCCTGGCAGTTCACGTCCGGGGGGTGTCCAATGTCCTGGCAGATGGCCTGTCCCAGTTCCTTCCCCTTTCTATGGAATGGACGGTCGACACCGACTCCTTCAGTTGGCTGTGCCGGACGTTCACGACTCCAAACGTGTCTCTTCACGTCGGCGTGGTCGAGGTGTCTCCTGGTATATGTGGCGCCCTTCCCCGACTGCGAGGCCGTCGGGGTCGACGCCTTCAGGCAGGACTGGGCGAGGTGGGATTACCTGTATGTCTTATCCCCCGGTTCCACTGTTGCTCCAGGTCCTGACTCGCTTGGAGACTTACCAGGGGTCGCGTTGTCCTTCTGGCTCCTTGGTGGCCGGCCCAGCCTTAGTTTCAGGCACTGCTTGCTTGGTGTCCGAACCCGAGGGTCTTCCCGCGGCTCCACCTCTTTCAGCAGATCGGTCCAGTCCTGTACGAGGCTGGTTTGGTCTTCTCCTAGAGTCTTCACATCTGGTGATTTTGACTCTGGTTTATCATTCCTTGTATGGTGCGCAGGTGGCTTCGTTGTTGGTCTCCCACTTGCATGCTTCGTCTCAGCGGCAGTATGAGGTTTCCTGGCGGTCCTTAAGTTTTTTCCCATCACTGCATCGGTATTCTTCTGTCTCTGATAGGGTTGTTCTATGCTTTCTCGCTTGGTTGTTTCAGGACCGTCATCTTATGCTGAATGCTGTCGCCTCGTATCGTGCGGCGTTGGCGGAGCCGCTTCAGCTTGCTTTCGGTGTTACTTCTGCCCCGTTTCGCAAGCTGTCTTGTGTGTTGTTTTACCTCCAGCCAGCTCATGCGCCGCCTGAGCCGTCATGGTTCTTGGACCGCATGCTCTTGTTTCTCTCTTCTCCTTGGTTTGTTGTGGCCCCTTCCGTTTGGGATTGTTTTTCTACGGCTCTTTTCCTTTTGGCATTGGCCTCTGGAGGTCCGGTTGGGGAGCGTCATGCTCTCCTCCGGCGCTGAGGTTTCTGCTCTTTCGGTCCTGGTGGTCATTTTGTTCGCTTGCAGCCGTCTCCCTCTTTTCTGAAGAAGAATGAGACAGCTGCGTTCCAGAAGGGCCATGGGTTGTTGATGCTTGTTTGGTCAGGCCGGGGGTGCATCATGTGTTGTGTCCGGTTGCGGCTCCGCCGCATTTGCGCCCCCGCCGCATTTGCGCCCCATTTCCGCCGTTATTTGCGCCCCACGGCTTCGGTTGCCGGGGATGCGCTATGGGTTGATCCAGTTTCCCTGTTCCCGGGCTCTGGTCTCTCAGGTCGTCCGCAGGGTTATTAAGTGTAGCCAGCCTGCGGTTTTTCCCCGGGCCCACGATGTTCGTAAATTTGCTGCTTTGGCTGCCGTCTTTGGCAACATGTCATGGGTGGACATTCAGGCCTGGGTTTTTTGGAGATCGAACAGGGTCCTGGCCGTTCGCTACCTGGTGAATGTTCCTGGGCCTGGTCGGGCCTGCGTTGCCTTGGGTCGGCGGTTGCAGGTAGTTGTCTCAACTTCACGTTGAGGAGTGAGGACAGACCGCCTCCCGGGTAAGTCCCCTGTTTTTTCCTTATCTTTGGGTAGTTAGCTCCAGGGAGCCGATGGGGCTCCCCCAGAAAACCAGCGTTGAATGTAATGAAATGCCATTTTCTGGGTGAGTATCAGAGGCTCCCCCGCCAATCCCTCCCTCCCTCCCTCCGGTTGGCGGTGTTTTCGCGGTTTTGACATCCAGCCTAAGAACTAACAGTTGGGTCGCCGACTGTGGGGTCTGGGGCTCCCCCCTCCCCCGCCTCCCGGGGAGGGGGGGTTGTGCAGACAGCGGCGCGGTGACATGATGACATCATGCTAGTTTGCTAATTTTCTTTTGGGGAGTTCTGTCCACTTGTTCGGTCTTTGGTCGCAATAGTTTACCAGATTAGGGGTTTGTTTTGGGGCGCCTACCTTTCTGGGTGCTTATCCCGGTCGATGGCAGACATAGAATGCTCCCAATCATAAGGGGGGGTCTCTATAGGCCATTGCTCCTCGTGCCTCTCTAGAGGGGGCCAGGTTCTGGCTCGTGGTCCCTGGTAGGCAAGAACTCCATGCATTGACTGATACCAGAAAGTTATACGTATCCATTCAGCCTGGATAGCTCTGGGGAGCCTCTGGGACTCACCCAGAAAATGGCATTGCATTACATTCAACTCTGGTTTTTTGTGCTGGTTGTTTCTCATTCGTCTTCTTGTGCCTACTACTGTCACCACTTATAGTTTTGGCATTGATGGAGCTGCTACTGTTTTCACTGAGCAGTGACACCTCCAAAGCCCTTTTCTGCATGTTATCTTGTGTGGTTTTTCACCTCTGGCCTGCACGTGTTTTCCCACTGAGCCATTCTGGTCTCTTGACCAGGTTTTGGTCTCTCTCTCTCTCTCTCTCCTTGACCAGTTTATGGTTTTTCCTTTGGCTTGAGATGTCTTTCTGAAGGTTGTGTTTTGTTGCTCTGGCCTCCAGCTGTAGGATTAGGGAGCTTCAGGCTCTTCTCTAGAGGTGGGAGTTCTATTCTTTTGGCCCTGGTGGGTAGTATGTTGGTTTCCAGCCTTTTTCTTCTTTTCTGGTGAAGAATGAGTCAGCTGGCTTCTGGAGGGGGGCGTCCTTTGGTGGTTGATGTTTGGTTGGTTAGGCTGAGGGTGCATCACTTGTTGTGTCCAGTGGCAGCTCTTTTTCTGTTACTTGAGAGCCACTGGTTCTGCCTCGGTGGATGACTTGATGGTTGACCCTGTTTCCTCAGTCTCCTGTTGCAAGGTATGCAATTCTCTGGGTCATCCATGGTGTCATAAGTCTAGCCAGCCTGTGATCCACCCTGTGGTCCCATGATGTGGGTTTGGGTGTGGTCTTCTTCAACATGTCTTGGGCTAATATTTGGGATCAGGAGTTCTGGTGTTCTAATAGGGTTCTAGTAACCTAGTATTTAGTTAATATTCCAAGTCCCATTCGGTCTTGTGTTGCTCTGGGTTATACATCTTCTTGCCTGGTTTCTCTTCTTTCTAGTGCCTGCTGCCTCCCCTCTTTCCTGGTAAGTCCCATTCTTCTTCTTCTGTGGTTAGTTAGCTTCAGAGAGCCACTGGAGGGTTCCCCCAGAAACCGTGTTGAATATAATGAAATGCCTCTTTCTGGTAGAGCTTTGGGGGTTCCCTGATTCCCTCCCTCTCTCAAAGATCTCTCTCCAAGATTCATCAGTTTGAGGGTGAATTGTTCACCGACTCCAAAACTGACCAGGGAAACCAGCTGCAGCCAGGATCTGGGCCACCTGACAATGGAAAATAGTAGAGGGACTGGTCCCAAACCAGCACACAGAAATAACTCCACATGAGATGCTGCGGGAATGCTAAGCCCTGAAACCATCTCAAGGTAATCTCAAGGTATGGTGATGTTATGGTAATAGCAAATTTTGAGCTAGTTTGAATGAGTCCCTTGTTCTGTGTGAATCATCAGCATTGTTGTTTGTCTGTTTTTGAGGCTTCCCTTTCTGTGCCCCCCCAACTCGGTTGTCTGTAAAGCTTCGCTGACTGAGTGGATGGTTTCCTGGTGGGGGTGATGAATTGTGTCTTGCCCCCGAGCCCAGGTTCTGGGTCTGGTCCAAGGCAGACCAAACAGAATTGATACAACTGAAGTGACCTTTTACATGAATTAATCTCAGCGAGATAGCTACAGGAAGCCACCAGGGCTCTACCAGAAATAAGCATTTCAATACATTCGTTGTTGAGTTTTAACAGTTATTAAACTTTACAAATTGTGTACACAGTATTGTATAAATATGAAACTTTCAATACAGCTGTTCATTCATCACCCTGGGAGGTCATGGTTTGCCATTGTCAAGAACAAAAGGCCTTGTGAAAATATCAAGGTCCCCCTAGGCCAACAACTGACCTGTCTCAAGATAATACCCACAAAGGGTGCCTAACTCTCAGGTGCCTATTTACTGCTAGGTAAACAACAGCCTCGGGTGTAAGGAAAGATCTTGTCCTGCCTGGAAATCAAACCCGAGACCATTGGGTTATGGCCAATTGTGCCGACAGTTGTGCTACAATAAATATACAAAGCAGAATCTTCAAGCTTGGGATGATCTACCTGCAACTAATATTGTTGTGTTCAGTCACTTCATATATAAGTCAACAAGTATACTTATATGTCTTGTGGGGCACATGTGCCATACAAGCATATATTGTTGTTATTGGCATCATCATCTTTGTACAGTCATTTCATTCTCTTTTCTAAGGTTGTTTTCAAGAAGCAGTTGAGCAGACGTCAGTGGGTTTCCTTGCTCATTCTTACTGTGGGATGTATTGTCAAGCAGCTTAGTTCAATAAAGAAACAAGAAATCTCACCAACACAGCCCGAGTCCACCTACACTACATTTTTCCTTAACTTTGCATCACTTCACACAGGCCTCATGCTTGTTCAGGTATGTTGGGAAATTTTAAGTAGCTTTATTTGCATCTTTTTTATTTATTTATAGTTGTTTGTACTTTATCATATAGTTTTAATTTTATATTGTGAATTTTGTATAGAAATTGCAGATCCGGAGTTACAAATCAAATCATCTCAAAAAGATCTACAGTGTGTCCTCACTTGAACGAACTATATGGGGCGAAGCCGATTCGTTCCAGTGCGGAATTCGTTCCATCCGTCCAGCCCCAACAACCTTCTTATTTTTTTTTTTTTAAACATATGCCAGGACACATTAGTTTGTTTCTTTGTTGTGTGGTGCTTCATTATAATATCTTTCATGCTCTTTTGGTGTCAATAATAATCTGAGATGCGAGAATCACCATTCCCCACCCCACCCACACCATCCCCCACACCACCCACACCATCCTCCACACCACCCACACCATCCCCCACACCACCCACACCATCCTCCACACCACCCACACCATCCTCCACACCACCCACACCATCCTCCACACCACTCACACCATCCTCCACACCACCCACACCATCCCCCACACCACCCACACCATCCCCCACACCACCCACACCATCCCCCACACCACCCACACCATCCCCCACACCATCCTCCACACCACCCACACCATCCCCCACACCACCCACACCATCCTCCACACCACCCATACCATCCCCACACCACCCATACCATCCCCCACACCACCCATACCATCCCCCACACCACCCATACCATCCCCACACCACCCATACCATCCCCCACACCATCCCCCACACCACCCACACCATCCCCCACACCATCCCCCACACCACCCACACCATCCTCCACACCACCCACACCATCCTCCACACCACCCACACCATCCTCCACACCACCCACACCATCCCCCACACCACCCACACCATCCTCCACACCACCCACACCATCCTCCACACCACCCACACCATCCTCCACACCACCCACACCATCCCCCACACCACCCACACCATCCCCCACACCACCCACACCATCCACCACACCACCCACATCATCCCCCACACCACCCACACCATCCCCCACACCACCCACACCATCCTCCACACCACCCACATCATCCCCCACACCACCCACACCATCCCCCACACCACCCACACCATCCTCCACACCACCCACATCATCCCCCACACCACCCACACCATCCCCCACTCCACCCACATCATCCCCCACACCATCCCCCACACCACCCACACCATCCCCCACACCCCCACACCATTCCCAACACCACTAACACCATTCGCCACCACCACCCACACCATACCCCACACACCCCACATCATCCCCCACACACCCCACACCACCCACATCATCCCCCCACACCCAACCACACCACCCACACCAACCCACCCACACCCAAACCACACCACCCACACCAACCCACCCACACCACCCAAACCATACCACACCACCCACACCGTGTATTGAAACAGCAGGCTTGGAAGCGTCTCAACTCGCCCGACAAAAAAAAATGATGGGTTGACAGGTCTCCTCTCACACCTCCAGGTTTCCCCCCTCCCCACCCCCCAGGTACCCGGCCATACACACCACAATGCCAAGTCAGCTATTGTTTTCTTCAGGAAACAATAAAACGTGTTAATGATTAATAATGTATATTAATACAACATATTTTGGCATAAATATTTTACAGCTAAGATTGAGATTTAAAATAGAGTATGAATGAGAGGTTTGGCAGCCATGCGTGGTCACCACCCTTCTCTCTCCACTTCCACCTCCCCTGACAACACCTTCCACTACTGACCCCACCTGCCTCTTTCCACCACCTGCCTCCCCTGACCCCACCTGCCTCCCCTGACCCCCACCTGCCTCCCCTGACACCACCTTCCACCACTGACCCCACCTGCCTCCCCTGACCCCACCTGCCTCCCCTGACCCCCACCTGCCTCCCCTGACCCCACCTGCCTCTTTCGACCACCTGCCTCCCATGACACCGCCTGCCTCCTCTGACACCACCTGCCTCCCCTGACACCACCTGCCTCCCCTGACCCCACCTGCCTCCCCTGACACCACCTGCCTCCCCTGACCCCACCTGCCTCCCCTGACCCCACCTGCCCCCCCCCTGACACCACCTGCCCCCCCCCTGACACCACCTTCCTACCCTGACCCCACCTGCCTCCCCTGACCCCACCTGCCTCCCCTGACCCCACCTGCCTCCCCTGACCCCACCTGCCCCCCCTGACACCACCTGCCCCCCCCCTGACACCACCTTCCTACCCTGACCCCACCTGCCTCCCCTGACCCCACCTGCCTCCCCTGACCCCACCTGCCCCCCCCCTGACACCACCTGCCCCCCCCCTGACACCACCTTCCTACCCTGACCCCACCTGCCTCCCCTGACACCGCCTGCCTCCCCTGACACCGCCTGCCTCCCCTGACACCGCCTGCCTCCCCTGACACCACCTGCCTCCCCTGACACCACCTGCCTCCCCTGACACCACCTTCCTCCCCTGACACCGCCTGCCTCCCCTAACACCGCCTGCCTCCCTTGACACCACCTGCCTCCCCTGACACCGCCTGCCTCCCCTGACACCGCCTGCCTCCCCTGACACCGCCTGCCTCCCCTGACACCGCCTGCCTCCCCTGACACCGCCTGCCTCCCCTGACACCGCCTGCCTCCCCTGACACCGCCTGCCTCCCCTGACACCGCCTGCCTCCCCTGACACCGCCTGCCTCCCCTGACACCGCCTGCCTCCCCTGACACCGCCTGCCTCCCCTGACACCGCCTGCCTCCCCTGACACCGCCTGACTCCCCTGACACCACCTGCCTCCCCTGACACCACCTGCCTCCCCTGACACCGCCTGCCTCCCCTAACACCGCCTGCCTCCCTTGACACCACCTGCCTCCCCTGACACCGCCTGCCTCCCCTGACACCGCCTGCCTCCCCTGACACCGCCTGCCTCCCTTGACACCGCCTGCCTCCCCTGACACCACCTGCCTCCCCTGACACCACCACAAATGATGCCAGCCACCTCACCAAGGCCTAACGTTCACACGACCTGTGCTTGTTTTATTGGCCTCCTCAAAATGTATTCTAAATAGGTAGGCTGTTAGAGGAGGGAGGGAGGGATCCAGGAAACAACCCCCACTCCCCCAATGGCTCAGGGAGCGACCGGCTGGCCACACAATGCCAGCTGTTATCTACACCCCAATTGTATTAAAAATTCTGTGAAAAGGAAATGTGTTCAAACTGTTTAAAATATGTACTGTATATATTACAATTTTCACCATTATTATTGCTCCAATATGACATTTTTCTAATAAAAAGGCTATTTTCAGTGTAGATAATGCGATAATTATCATTAAATTGACTCTTGGCATCTGACGACGAGAGGAGAGTGAGTGGTCTCTGTGGTCAGGTGGAGGAAGGAGGGTGGGGGGCGGGGGAGCACGTGTTGCCTCCTGACAACAACTCTCTCACCAATGCCCCCCTGACACCATTTTATCACCATTTCTCCCTAGAAACAATGGGTAGGGATAATAAAACACTACATAACTGTTTACACTCTGGCGAATCATAGTTGATGACAGCCAGCTCTGACGCTCGGCCTCGGTGACCGCTTAGACGAACATTCCTCACTTAATCGAACATTTGTATGTTCCACTGAACATTTGGTACCGAATTCAATTTGTTCGGCTCTTCCGGGAATTCGATAGAGCGGGGTTCGTTAGTCTGAGGAAGCACTGTATATCACTCAAATCGAATTTTATGAGGATACCGTGTGGTCATATTGGCACAACTCTTAGTTGGTGTTGGAGATGTATTGTATTTGTGAATGTCTGGGAGTGCACTTCAGTAGCTCTCTGCAGTTACAAACTGAAAGCAACTAAGTCCTTGATGCCCACGAGAGCCTACTGGGAACCAGGACCAGAATCTGGTTTTCTCAGTCTTGGAGAGCCTTGGGATCAGAGGTCAACTCAATACAGAGATAAAACTCCACCTGAAAGCACAAGCGCTATAAGGTAACCAACAGCTTGGAAGATATTTATTACCCTGATGATAAATAACTATGATATAGCCACTCGCCACCAGGTGGCAGCCCAGGGTCTCAGCCAGTCATCACTCTACTCACAAGCCTGGAGTGTGACCAAAGGACACCACACTGCTCTGCTAGACCCATTTTCAGTTTTAAGCTTTAACCCCTGGGCGGCGCAGCTATTAATAGCCGACAACACTGCTGAGCGCAAGAACAAAAAACCAGTGTTTAATGTAATGAAACGCCATTTTCTGGGTGAGCCCCAGGGGCTCCCTGGAGCTTATCAGGCTAATGTATGTTATATTAGACCGGGACATTAGCTAAGGAGTTCAGACCTACCAGGGACCATCGCCAGAACCTGGCCCCTTCAGAGAGGTTTCATGGAGCAATGGACCTGGAAAACTCACTTGTGGTTGAAGTTTTCCTTATCTGCCATCAACTGGGGTTAGGCACCCAGAAAGGTAGGCATAACAAAACAAACACCACATGGTAAAAAACTAAAACAAAAAAACGAACAGAGAGGTAGAAACTCCCTACAATCCCAAGAAAACGAGCAAACATCACACTTTACTGTCCGCCGATCATCCGCGCAGCCCTCCACGCCCCGAGAGGGGAAGGGGGGAGTCCTGGACCTCACTGCGCCGGCTGCCTAGCATGAGTTCGGAAGCTGAGCTTCAACCAACGCGAAAAATACGCCGACTGGTGGGAGGGAGGGTTGCCAGGGAGCCTCCAGGGCTCACCCAGAAAACAGTGTTTCATTACATGCAACTCTGGTTTTCTGCGGGGAGCTCCTACGGCTCCCTGGAGCTTCATACCCAAAGAAAGGGCTGATCAGGGCTCCAAAGGATACCTGATCAACCAGGCTGTGACTCATACGTCAGGCTGCGAGCAGCCGCATCCAACAGCCTGGTTGATCAGTCCAGCGACCAGGAGGCCTGGTCCACGATCGGGCCGCGGGGATGCTAAGC